ATAATTAAAAGACAATGCTCTCATACAAAGAATCCATCTTGCAAGTAGTTAAGAACTTGCACTCGTTTAGAAAATATTTTTTTGAAAAGGATGAAAATTAGCGAATGATCAAATACCAGTGCTTCAGAAGCAGCTTTCTGACATAACAAAACTGGTGGTTATGTTTCCATTACTGCATATTTACAGGTCCAGATATTCTGCCAGAGACAGGATACTAAACTAGAATGATCCATCTGTAAGCTTCTGCTATACACATTTCCTTTGCTCACTATTTACTTTGTGCTGAAATGTATTACCATGAGCAATTCAAGTCCACATGCTAGAAGCCACACAGCAAGAAAAGAGACATACCAGGAAAGAAACCAACAAAAGACAAATGGCAAAATAGCAGTGAAAGATGGAGTCCAACAGCATATTCTTGCCTTTCAGTTAGAAGTGCAGGGTTACTTTTTTTGTTGATGTAGGGTTTTTTTTTGTGTGGTTTTTTTTTTTTTTTTTTTAGCTTAATATCTCTCTCCATTCAGAACTTTTCACCACTTTATTTCAATCATTAACTCAATTTTCACTTCAACTTTACCATTCGTTTTTTGGAAAAAAAAAAAAATCCAAACCATTGTGTGGAGGATACTGATGCAGTAGGAACTTTTACTGTTTTTAAGGATTAGCAGAATTAAGTGCTACATTTCTAGGTGTTGCTTTTCAGCAGTGCCATTGTACCATAGTATCTGCTATTTCTTTAAGTGTCATCAGCTTGTCAGCTCATGAGCAGGTGTAAAGCTTTGTCCCTCCTCCATTCCAATGTTCAGTGAAGCCACTGGATATCTGTGAAGAGTGTTGTTTCAGGAGTACTTTTTTTTCCTCCAGAGAATTTAAAGGTAAATATTTATCTTCAAAATTAATGTCATTTGTTGCTACAACAAGAAAGCAACAAAACACTGCTAGATGGATTATTACAAGTTTTGAAAACAGAAGATGTGCCTGGGAGACAGCATTCTAGGAGCACTTTAAAGCCCAGAGATCACTGGAATGTGCAAGTAATGTGAGCAAATTATAAAATAAACCAAATAAAAATATACTGACATGGGAAGATGAGTGTTCTGTACTCAGCCATACAGATCTGAAATTCCCCAGTTGATACTTAAAAGGAAGTAAATCCTATTTGACTTTTTGTAAAACAAATACATGCTATCAGAATGCACTGAGATTTACTAAAAACAGATTAAATTCTTAGATTTGTTAAAGTCAGTGACATACACAAAGCCATAATAACAAGCAGCATGTTTGTGTATCCAGACTTCACTATTCATCATAGCAGGAAAATAATGTGGAGTGTTTCACACAAAAATCAAGTCAATATTTGAGACTGTTCTGTCTTAGTGAACTGTTATCACTTCACGCAAGATTTTACTGCTTGAAGTATTAGAAATGAAAGGGTCTGTACTGTTTAAGAGATTCTTATCATACACTGCCTCTTTATACTGCCTGCAATTTTCAGAGAAATAAATTGTTCTTGACGAATATCAGGTCCTCTGTCTGAATGCATTATGGTTCATTAAGATTCAACTAAACCCAAAGCTTATTTAAACTAATATAGGTGCTGCTGCACTGAAATTAGAATCTGATGTCTCATTGTTTTAGTGAAACATCAGGAAGAAGTGAAGATGTTCTGAATGTTTCTCAGACCACCTGCTTCACTTCAGTTTTTGAATGGCTCCAAAAGCCTTATTCCAGGAAGAGACATACCATGGCAGAGAATTTATTAACTGTTTCAGTGGAAGAGAATCTACGTTCTAGCTGGATTTATTTTGTTCTGAAGTCCACAATCTGGATGACTTCCAAAGAGATCTGAACTAAATACTGGACAAAGTATTAGAAGAAAGTAACAAAGCTACATGTGATAACCTTCATAACTATTCAGCTAAACATAGGTAACAAGTAGAAAGTAATGACCTCTTGCTTCGTTGAATACCGCTCTGGTAATTGCTTAGTTGTTGTTTCTTCAGGATCCAGGCACAAGGGGAGCAATTAGCTCATATCAGATTGTAAACTAGTGAGATAATATCACACTGTTACTCTTACTACTGGCACAGTAATCAAGACATTAGCTACCATACAATGTTTGACAATAACTTTGATGCAATCTTAGTTTTTACTTGCTGTAGATGCTGTGATTGAACTCTCTTCTACATTTGCATTAGGTATACCTGCAAACAATGATTCTATTTTTTCTCCCTGTATAAAGAAAATATCATCTTGAAAGATCAGAGGTATTTAAAGCTAAGTAAATGAAAATACAGAAAACATGAAATATTGTTTGCTTGGCAAAAAAGGCATTGTATTTTCCAACTTTCAGTCTCATTTTTAGCTATAAATTTGTCTAAACGTTATTTCCATCTATGTAAAATGAACATATATCCATGCATCCATAGGATGCAATCTACACTCATTTAAAACAGGAAAAAGAAATCTCAAACTGTGAACTCCTGAAATACAGAAGCATCTCTTTCCCTCCCTCTCTCCTTCTCATCTTATCTTTTATTTCTTTCCCCTCCCCTTGAAACAGTGTTTTTTTACTTTAACTTGTCATGTATTTGACAGTTACTCAAGTACTTAGCAATGAGGATCTAACTGGAAAGTGCCAGGTCCCTTTTTATTGCACTTTATCAATATTGTTAAAGGAATGATGTAATTGTTTGGGGTTTGGTAAAGACATTCCATGTCACTTCAGTGTTAATACCAGGCTGGAGCCTTCCTTGTCTGCCTGCGTAAGCTAGATAAACACAGACCTGTGTGCTTTCTTCTCATCTCAGGATACTTTCTCAGAGGGATCTTGGAACATATGCCTATTGCAAGCTAAACATTTCACTTTTCATTTTATCCATGTGCCAGAAATCCATTCCTTGGATAAACACTTTACATACTGACACTCTTAAAGTCACTAAACACGATAAATAAAGAGAGAATACATCATTTCAAAACCGATTAAACATTTTCTCACTTGTGACAAATGAACAGCTATACACTGCATGGAGTCCCTGGAGCAGACATTCCATTTTCTTTGTCTTCATTTTGCGTGGAAGATTAACTTTCCATTTCAGTTCATCTATTGCACAACTGAGCTTTTTCTAAAATTGCTGCTTCTCCCCCCAATCATTATTCATTTTAGAAATATTTCTGTTGTTATTGCTGCAAGAGCTTTCCTTCAGACTTGTATTTTTATGGAGATATCAGCTTTAATATTTTGTGTCCCAAGCTAAAAGGAAGAAAATTTGTATCTCATACTAAAAGCAAAAGAAATGCTGTTATGAGGTAGACCTGAACTTATCTCTTGTCTGTCCACTTTAAAAAGGAAAATCCAAACACATTATTCACATTATTTTTTCTCCATCAAATTCATCACTTTTCCTTGCACCACTTGCTTGCCTAGTCATCCTATACACAGCTATTCTTCATATGATTAGCCAAATGAAATGAATCTTTTATATAGCTTTTTAAGCTATCATCTTATCTTTCACTCCCTGCCAAAAAAGATCTCAAGCACTCTATTTCTAAACCTCTTTAAGGGTCTTAATGCAATAAACGCACACAATACTAAAACTACACCAAGAACTTGTTTTTCAATATTTTAACAAATACCATCAATTTGCTTAACACTTTCAGTGGAAAGGTGCAAGGAAGAAAGACAAACATAATTCAAAGTAACAGTAAATATAACATTGCCCCTAGATTTATTGTTTTAGGTCCTGGTGTGATTCCTCATGTTTTCCAAAAAAAACTTCTAAATATAATGTACAACAATGAACTGGAATTTCCTTCTTGGACAAAGTACTATGTAAAAGGAGCTGCTGTATTCAGCACAGGGAGAGAAGAAATAATTAGGACAAATAAAAAGGATTAGGAGTAGGCCTTCTATACACTTAAGTAAGAAGTATGATACTGAGCCAAAGCAGTACTTCCTTTGATGATGTGAGATTGTGATGTAAAAATGGAACAATATACCACTCAATGACCTATCATCTCCATGAAAGTGAAAATGGAACTTGTGACAAAAGAACATCCAGTCTCTCCTTTTCAAGTGCTCTGTTATATAGGCCAAGAATAGATAGAAATAGTTAACTGCCCTGTTACATTGAAGTCCTGTTACATAGAAACTGGGGCATCAGAGCTATAAAATGGCTGACAAAACATAGCAAAAATTGAAATCTTTTACATTTTACTGGAATCCTATTGAGAGACTTACCAGCTGTATTCATTAGCATGTGCTCAGCAGCAGTTAATACAAAAAAAGATGCTATGTTTGGCAAATGGAAAACTAACATAGACCATCAATTTCACCAAATCTGGACTAGAAACGGAGTGTCATTTCGGTCTTCTGCCGGGAGAGATTTTATTTGCCCCATTTAGACAGAGCTTCTGGAGAATTCTGCCAGAAATTAGAAGCCACACGCTGCCCAGTGAAGTTCATGATTTTGAAAACCCTCAATTGCACATACCTGAAATTTCATTCTATAAAATTTGATGAAGTATTTTGCTTTTAACCAGAAAAAAATATTTTGAGAAAGCCATAATTATATATATCACTAGATTATTAAAAGACAGATTCCCAAATCTGTATTTTATAAGCACAGAAAGTAGAACCTAATGATTAGTAGTTGGGAATACAGTGTCTGTCAAGTCACTGTAATTCTGGTGTCGAACTCCCTCAGTTCAGATATCATATTCGAACTTCATTTTTATATAATGTACACGCATTTTCTCAAAGATAAATCACATGCAATATTTCTCTAAAAACAGAGAATATTCCTATTGCTCTGTATTCTATTAAATTATATATTCTATGCTTTTTATTCATGAAGTTGGAACTTAAAATATATACGTGTCAATCTGCTTTCTCAGTGCATTTCTTTCAAAATTCAAAAAGTAAGATGTTGGCCTCCAATACAGCAGTTTGTAACAAAACATATTTTTCACAGAAGGGTTTTATCATTGTTTTTTCTTACCTTTTATGTGCTTCTGTCAGTGATTTCTCTTCATTTTCTTGGTCTATTTTAGCTGTAAAAATACAGGCAAAATATTAGCTACAAAGTAAAATTTACAAGTGCTGTTTTATGAAAATATTTCACTGTAATTGCTGTGATTTGTTTATCTGTGTTTTGTAAAAACAACCTTAAGATACACTAAGGTATATCAATTCTGAAAAAAGTGATATTAAATAAACAAACAAAAACTCCTCAAGCAAGATTTTTTTAAAAAAATTCTTGCACTAATATAAACAACAATCAGGTCATGAATGTGACATTAAAACAATTCTTAAAGACTGACTCTACAAACTAGAAATATGGGAACCAAGAGGAAAAGCTGAGTGAAAAGCTTGAAGCATTCAACCTTTGTAAAAGTTGCTTGACAGTCACAAATAAGAGCTACTTTTTTTCTCCCATCCCCTTGTGAATAGCTACAGGTAATTTACAAATAAGAATGCAATAAGACATAACAATTAGTGAAGTAATAGAGACATGGTGGACCCATTTTGAAAAGAAAAAATTTATATGAAGGAAATTATCACATGGTTATTATATGAAGAGTCAAAACATGAAGCAGCCAGTGCCACACATAAATGCAAAAATGATCTAATTTTCAAAGCTTCTCTTATATTGCATTTTATATCAAGTTCACTTAACTTAGACAGAAATAGTGATATGCAGTATCTACCAGAAAAAGCACATTAAACTTGGGAAAAAAAAAGTAAAGCTCTAGTACAAACTACTCTGGGCAAGCATGCTTATTTTATAGAGTTATTCAGGTAGCACATCTTAAATTCATTCAAGATATTAATATTTTGGCCAAAAGCTTTTTAGTTTAGAACTTGATTCCCTTTTCCAGTCCGCTGGAGTAGTAACCTGCTAATTTGCAAGGACAATTTTAGGATTCCAGAAAGTCAGTTGGTCTAGAGGCATGAAGAGGCTCTAAACAGTCGTGAAAACAAATGCCAGTGGTGCAAGTTTCATAAAGAAATCTAAAAATAAAGAAATAATAATAAAAATAGAGCTGTAGAGGTATCTAGCATTCTATTGTTCCTACACAGCTCTACAATAATAATTAAAATTGTTTCTTCTTGCATTGCAGATGCACTATCTTTAAAATAGAAAATGCAGATTTTAAATTTGGCAATTTGGCAGAAATGAGAATGGCAATGGAAATATTAGGAATCAAATGTAATTGCTACTATTCTGATTGATGTTTCAATCAGCAGCAGTTTACACTTGCACTAAAATATTAAAATAGTAAAAGCTGCTTTTTATTAGTAGTAATATAGTCAGCTGAGCAATGCTTGGTTTACCTGCAGCAACAACCTTTGTACCTAGCAGTCATTACTTGAAGATTCAGGCTCCACCGTTGTTTAGTTTGAAGTAAAAAATAAATCCCAGCAAACCACAGGAAACTTTAGGGAGATCTGGGTAAATGTTCTCAAGAAAACTCCAGAGCACACGAAGGCTGCCTGATTACGGGTTTCATTACTGACTTGAAACTCGGCCCAGATTCTTCAAAAGGTTTGTAGCGGCTCACAACTCTTTTGACTGAACCTGGGCCCAGTGTTGAGTGAATCTGGGCTGACTTATAGTTTTGCTTAAAAGTCTTGCTTGGCTTTGGATACGAAACCAGGTGAAACCTGGCAGCTTTGACAGAATTTTTGTTTCTTTATACTTCAATCCTGAAAATCAAGGTATGATTTGCTGTAAAAACATATGCTACAAGAGAGAAGAAACTCCACACAAACTCCATGAATGAAGGGAGAGTCAACATCTAGTTCTACACTAATGCTTTTTCTTAGTACCTTCAAATACAATTTCTAAAGTAAGCAATTCTGTTACTGAAACGTGTAATTTGGACTCCACTGAGTTAAACAATGCTTGGAAATAGAGCTTAGTATATTCTAGTTTGGGACAGTCTTTTAGAAATCAGATTTGTACAGAACCCTTTTTTTTTTAATAATTTCCAGGATTGATGGAACATATCATCTGCATTGTCTAGATCTGGCTTTTTTCCTCATATCCAATAATTCAACACACGCTTACCTAACAACAATGGAGAAAATGTTCCTTAATTTATTCTTGGAAGATTGCAAACGCAACATATATAATACATACAAGGCTTATCAAAGCATGTCAGAATGTTTCCATTCTGCAACAGAAACTCCTGTTCACTTTCAATTTAAAAGCATGAATATATACTTTTAATCATTTCAAGTATATGTACTTCTAATAATTTCCTAATGAATAAGTATTACACAAAGAAAAGAATCTTGAAAATGATCTGTAGTAGCTTTTTTCTTTTAGTATAAGTGAAATGTAACCAAAGAGAGATTCCATTCTGCACCACATCACCTCTCGAAATTAAGACGTTTGCAAGAAAGAAGTTTACCATAAGAGAGAATTCCCCTGCATTCTGTTCCAAATACGTGATGAAACTTTTAAACGTTATTAAAGGGATATTATTCAGGTGTGGATCAGACTTGCAATTCATTTTCTTTCTTATTTTCTAGATGAAAATTGTTGAAGAACTGAATAAAAATGATTTTGCTTGAGCAAGAAGACCGGTGACACCAGCAAAAGAGAAGAAAATGTAGTACACTATGAATCTGTCTATGTCCAAAGTAAATTCTTAAATAACTACATCTGCACTAGCATACAGTAAGCATGTGAAAGATGTAGACATCAGCTAGTGAAAGAAATTCACGGAGATTTAACCAGCTGGAGAAGAAAACCTACTGTTATCAAAAACCACAGAAGTCTTGCTATCACCTAGATACAATGAAATAACTATTAGATGTAGAGGCAACTGGAGAGTCCTATAATTTCTGAAACTGTCCACCCATACGATCACCTAATGTTAGTGATCATTGGTGTATTTTCTGTAGTGATTGCCCCACTGGTAAACTGCTTTCAATTCATTTTTCTGCTTTAACAAGGGAGATAAAAAAAAAAATCAGTAATGTTTTTTTAATATAGTTTTCTCAAAAAGCTCTATATATTTTTGAACATAAAAGCTAAGATAGATTCATTTGAAGAGTCCCACAGTGCATTAGACTTTACCTTTTCATTGAATATAATACATCTTTACCTTCATTTCTTTCTCCAGAGCAGCTCTTCAGAACTGGTAAAGAGTGCCTGAGTTTGACATTCTTCCTTCTTGGCAGCCTGAATCAATGAAGTGCTAAGTACAAGCTGAAACGTATGTGGGGAGAAGAGTATTGGGAGAAAAGTATAGTTCCTTTAACAGATGATAAGTCCTTTAGCAGGTGAAGCAAAAGAAGAAAATCCCTACTGACTTCACAGTGATCCCACTGTGGCCACAACTGGTGTGGGACAATTTGTCCTTTTCAGGAGTAGAGAGGCAGCTGAGCATTTCTGGGTGCTCAGCTGAGTTGATAAAATTCTCAATCTCTATCATGAAGAAACAAGATTTATGCAGAAAATTTTTACTGCTTTTCTCTGAAAAACATTAAACAAGTCTTGCAGTCAGTCACATTTGCTTTTGTATATATTCAGAACCCTTGCACTGACCATATCAGCAACTGTTTGCAGACTCTAATGGCAGATACAGGAGTTTCTTTTTTTGGGGGCCAGCAATCTTTGCCAACTAAAAAATATTCCGTATTTTATTGACTCATCATCTTTTCTCCAATTCTCTGCATAGGAACTAGATTTCTTGATCTTTGACACTAAATTTCTAAACCACCTCCAACAATACTGCTTCAAGTCTATTACTGAATATATCATACTAGGAAGTACTAGTCCCTATATTTCATGTAATGCAGCAGGGAGTAGAAGTAAAACTTCTCTGCCTGTATACATTTAATATATATGGTAGGTCTTTATATGCACATTCATAATCTTGAAAGAATGTATATCCTGTGAAATCTACTTAAAATGACATAATTGAAAAATAATCTTAGGTCATATTTAAAAATATTGCAATATTGAAAAAAGGAAAATTTCAGAGTTAAAATGGTCTTTCATGAAGTAAGAAATGCCACGAAGCCTTATCTATTTATGACCTATACTGAATTATCTTACTTTCATTTCAATTTGAAATCATGTAATGCCTTTTTATGAGTCAATGTGATACTGTTTGCCTGTTTTCTATTAAGATACCTTCATATTATTTAATGTTAGTCACCATCTACAGCTAGCTCTATACTTTCTAAATACTTTCCATTTTTTTCCTCAAAACTGAAGTACATTCCTTCCTCCCCATGTCATTCCTTCCCAAGCCTGAAGACTGTACTATATCCTAGACTTTTCCAACAGATCTCTTTATTAGAGGCTAAATGTATTTCATTGAAATTTACTGACGTTTTTAGTTCTATTTAATCAATTTTTGTATTTTTAATTTTTAATCAATTTTTTGTTTGATGTTTTATAATTGGAGTATAAAACTTGTTTTAATGCAATTCAATGCATTTCCAAAGCTTTGTACATAAAATCTAATTAACTTAATGTATAAAATCTCTGTCATTATCAGCAAATAACCACATTCCAGAATGATACATGCCATTGTTCTGTGTTTGCTCTTTCAATTCTTTTAGATTCCAGTTCTGCAAAGGTTACATATAAACTTCTGCAAAGGTACATACATGAACAGTCATATCAAAGTGACCTATGCTTTTAAAAAAAGCCTGAAACACTGAATGAAACTGAATGAGAGAAATATACACAGGCATTCCAGAAAATGACAGTGTTTAGCAGAGCAGTAGCTTTCCCTTTTCCACAATTTAAGAGATTAAAATTAAATGGAAAAAGGTTCAATGACAATGACATAAAAAACAGTCTTTTATCACGAATGTCCTTTCTTATCTCAAAGGCAGCAGACATTTCAGACATATGCTGCAGCCTTTGCTGGAATCAAGCTTCTCTGTGAATTAAGAACCTTGCCAAGTATTTTCTCATTTTCAGTCCAATCAACTTTCTTCCAAATTTAAGCTTTATACCTTCTGCCTTAAATCTACACCAATATATCATGTTTTTTTCTGTATTTAGATCAGACTATGTTCC